TGATCGCAGAAACCACGGAAAACAACCGATCAGAGCAGCCGATCGCTAGAATCCAGTTAGCTGCTGAATTCAATCTAGCTATGTAGCTAGTGTCGAAAATTTTATCACGGTCAGGTTTGCTGGTCCAACGTACCTTTAACCGGTAAAATTAAATTACATAGGCAATGGTTCTCATTTAGAGTATCTTAAAACTTACGTCTCCGAAATCACATGAAATGGAAAAGAAAGGGACAAGACAAGGTTGTTACTACTTGAATTATAAATGATGAGGTGATAGGATGATAATGAGGGGTGATGGACATTCACAAATACGACCTTGTCTACGCCGGTGGCTGCCGCCACGGTCTGCGCCACGCGGCCTTTTTATTAATTATTATTATTATTATTATTATTATTATTGTGATTATTATTATTGTGATTATTATTATTGTGATTATTGTGATTGTGATTATTGTGATTGTGATTGTGATTATTGTGATTATTATGATTATTATGATTATTATGATTATTATGATTATTATTATTGTTGTTGTTGTTATTATTATTAATATTTCTTGGAATAAAGATATACAATTACATTCAAATGTAAAATGTATTTCTCCTTGGATAAAATCTATCATATAACTTTCAATTATTTTTCAGCGAAAGAATATTATAACAGTGTTACAAGTCTTTCTGTCATTATTTCAAATGTAATTTCTTACTTTCTCTAATTCATGTTATGTATACGCAGCTACAATTCTTTCATTACTTCAAATGTAATTTCTTACTTTCTCTAATTCATGTTATGTATACCCAACTACAAAGTGTACAAATCACACAATGCACGCAAACTGAGTTAATGACCATTCATGCATCTGTTAACGTTTCTTTATGGATTTCAACTTAATACAAGTGAAAATAACATTACAGAATGTTTTATAACTCAAATAGGCAATTCTCACTTTCGACAAACAAACAAAAAATATGTTTAATTAAAGATGCTATCTCTTGTCAGTATTCAATTTATAATAATAAAAGAACGTAATACATTTTCTCAATTCTCAATATTAATTAACAAATTGTTTTCCTTTCATATCTGGCGTCAAGTTACATCTATTCTCTCTTTTGAGATAGCACGACAATAGAAATTTCAAAAGAGCAATGGAAAGAAGAAGACATTACACAGACATTACCTTACCACTGCGAGTGAGCTGGTGTAACGAGGGACTCACGAAATCGTGAGCGAGATCGTTTCCATGACCAGCTCAGCCCTCGACAGGCGCTTGCAAGCTCTCGGCCGTTTCCAAGCACGATGCAAAACTCGTGTCTGTTGGGATATGCCAAGGCCATTTCAAAAACAAATTTTGGAATTAGGCCGAAAATGTGAGAATTATATGGAGACATTTTCAGAAGCTATACTGCCCCTACTTGGCTTGAAATGTCACTGCTCACATTATCTAGACGTATGGCAACAAATTGGTATTTAAATATGAATTAAAAAATGGGTATAAAGAGTTTGCAGGAGTGCTTACTTCTATGAATGGTTTTCTGCATATATTGATTATTAACAAAAATACTAATTAAACTTAATATTCAATTTACAATAAACTTTTATCTGGAACCACATTTCACGCGCATTTTAGCTTTTGGTGCAAGTAACCAATAAAAATGTATTTTACCTAGAAATGTAAGGCGCAATCAGTAATATGTGATAAATAGGGGGAGGATTTTGATGCTCTAAAATATTGCCAAAAATGCCCAATAAAATGCTCTTAAAATGCTTTAAAAATGCCCTAAAGACGAAGAAAATTGACTTTAAAAATTTTATCAAATCCACTTCCGGTGAACAACTTACGCTGTTGGAAATCAGGGGGAAATTAAATAAAAATTACCTAAACAGGTAAAAAATTGACTTATTAGTCGAAATCGACAAAAAATGCAAAAAAAAAAAACCCTATAAAAATGAGTTTTTTGTTTCGCCATTCATAAAATGAATTTTTATACTACACTGCATTGTTCTAAAGTGAAAAGAAAAAATGAGATTTCATTAAAATGCCCCCTAGTGGTAAGGTATTCAATACAAGCTGCTCCAAATAACGCTTAGGTAAGCGAGGGAATACAATCGTAATCCTACCGGAAAAGCCAGAGTCGAACTATGAAATAGTGTGCGTACCGCAAAACGCATGGGTTTTCATCATATGATTGTTACATGACTGACACCTCATACCCTGATTTAAGAGACATATCAATAACATATATTCAAGAGTCGTATGACATCTGAAGAAACATATCAGTTACCATCGCCTATTTCGTTAAATATACATAATACGAGTCGTAACTGTGCACCGAGATAATAATATTTGAGTAGGAAGGGCACCTCTCAGGAAGTTCCCAGAATACCGGTCTGAGATTAGCCAGCTGAAATATGAGCCGCCAAAATCGTGAAGTTGAAAATGCAACCTTCTATAAATGAGCTAAAGGTTTTTCAGTGAAATATTTTGATATAGTACAAGTACATTGGTAGCTAGATTCAGTAACAAAATTTATACTCAGAAATGGAATTATAAACTTATAAGTATTGAAACTACTTAAATAGATGGTAAGTACAATAAACATTTTTTAATTAAATAGATAAAATACTTGTGTAAAGATAAAAAACCACTCTAGTTATAAAATAGCATTTTTTCTAATAACTTAAACATTATTACAAAATATTACGCTACTCTGAGTTGTTTTTGAAAATTGTTATTCAGAGAGAGATAGATAATATGTTTATTTTAGATCGCATCGACCACTTGGGTTATTAGCGACCTTCAAGGGCAGAGCCCTATGAACTATCGTCCATTCGTTAGTCTCGCTATTGTTCAAAACTGCAAAGCATTCAATAACAGTAATAAGTCGTTAACATCGTAAACAATAAATCCAGTACTTTCTCATTACTTTTACATTAACAAATCCGAACACATCATAAATTAAAGAATGAATAACAACATTCAGCTTCTTGACTGTTTGACGAGCATTCCATTGGCTAAGTTCTTTGTTTTTTCCATTTTATGATAAACCAATTAACAGTACCCCTCGGAGTCTGTGACTCGTCTTCTCATCTACCTCTCTTGCTTTTTAATCATTTTAATCATCAAATGTAGTGGAAATAATCAACAACGATAAATAAACTATAATATTACTGGCAGAATTTCACATGTATGTGTCCCAGAATTCATATTGGCCAACTTATTCCACAATTTTGTGATTGTCCACGAAATGTCGTAAACATGTTTGAAAGTGCTGACTTATAGAGAAAAATATTTTTTTAATAGTGATTCTAAAACATGTTTAGCCGTATTTGGCAAAAATAAAAGTACATCTATGAACCTTCAAGAAAATCGGCGGTGAAGCTTGTAAAGTCCATGTTAACCATCATACGTTTATCTAATGCACATTCCATGAATGAAATAATATTATATTTATTCCAGATACATTTAGTGAAAAAGAAACGACAGATCAATAATTAAAAATGAGAATAATTCTTCATAGGTATTTTAGCTATATTTATAAGAACATACGTATACAATAATCATTAACCTTCTGTTAAATTATTATTATTATTATTATTATTATTATTATTATTATTATTATTATTACAATATTCACATTTTAGAACTGAAGACTTTATTTTCAACCTTCATTCTGATTCAAACCTAATCAAAGTTGCGTACAGTTTAATGACCTTTCCCAGAAGTCCTTCGCAGAGCGCGGGTAATACAACGGTGCAGAATTAACCATGACGAAAACTAAACAAAGTGACAACAGTACTTGTTCAAAGTTGAAACAGTCTTTTGCAAGCAAAACTTTTGCATTACTAGTCTGTTTTGAACACCAGGAGACACACCAACTACTCCGTTCCTTGGATTCAGTACACAAATGTGCACGACGGTCCTACAAGTTTACGTGAGCTTTATATTTTGCATGATTCGAGAAAGTAAGCTAGCATCACTGGCGAAGTTATTCCAGATGCATCGATACGCTATTAAGTTGATGTTATTTGTTGCCATTTAAATAATATATTACTTAAATATGTACATTTAAAACGTTTTATTATTGCACTGTCGCAATAAGTTCAGGACGATTCACTTAAATATGATCATCTCGTGCAAAAGTCGAGAGAAATTACTGTATACACAAAGATTCAATATTAATTTCTTAAAACAACTATTACATTTCGCTCTTCAAGGTGACCAACATTCCTTGAACTCGTACTTTTGGAGGAAAGAAACGTATGAAACTAGCAATCGCAAATAACAGAGACGAACTTTCGAAATAAATTTTAACAAATTTATAAGCTCTAACCACTAGAATTAATTCGACAATAACATCTACAAAAACGTACAATAGAATGTGTAATTATTTTTGATTTGATGTAATGTAAACAAAAGTGCTTTCGTAATCGCATACAATCTCGTGTCACCCCAGGGTAACTTTATAGTTTAAATGTCATTAGGCCGATGTTGGAAACGGAGATCATGGGATTTGGCTGGAGTAAATTAAAACATTTTAATGTTTTAATTTACTCCCACCATTCCAATGATGTCTATTTCCGATGTCTACTGCATAGTCGTGAATCTAGAATGATTAGGCCGATAAACAACTAATAACAGACGCTGTGAACCGAAACGACAGCCGAGGATAGCAACCGAATCTGTTACCTGTATAATTCGCCGTGTGTCGTTCATTCCTTTTCATACCCATCTTATAAGAAAAAAATCAAATAAACAAGAAATACCATTTGTTGTAATAACTGAACTGAGACGTTATTTTCAACTACAACTACAACTAATTTTATGTGCCACAATTCATGTTGTTAACGGACATACGATTATTAATTCTTCGAACTGGCGCCGGTCGTTAAGAGTAAACTTTCCGTTAAGTCGATACAACATTACAACAACAATCGATTCATTATCACAAAACGAAACATTCATGGTATTCGTGGCGCCGTGAAGAAGGCTGCCGAGACTCACCGGCGTGCATGTTGGGCGCGGCGGCCGCGCTGTGGCGCCGCATCACGGAGGAGGTCTTCCTGAGGGTGCGCGCGGCGTTGTAAAAGGGCTCCTCGTCCACGGCGGGCGGCGGGTACGGGTACTCGAGCGAGCCGGGGATGTAGGAGAAGTCTGACTGCGAGGACTCGAGCGCGGGCGTGGAGGAGCAGCAGCCCGCGGCGGCGGCGTCCTGGCGGCGCAGGTACGCGTAGTTCTCCAGGTCCCAGGGGTCGATGTAGTGGCGCAGCAGCGACGAGGCGCCCGAGGACGAGCCGCTGCCCGAGGACGCGGACGAGCCCAGCGGCGGCGGCGGCGGCGCCAGCAGCTCGGACAGGCGGCGCCCGCGCGCCGAGGTGGCGTCGCCCGCCCAGAAGGCGCCCG